CATTAATGTGGGACTTTATCAAATACATTCTGTAAGTTTGAGTACATCCACTGATTTTCTTCATTTAAATTGGGATAGACAGGTTGGCAAAGGAAGCCATGACAAAGAATTCACAGTGTCTATTTGGGACAGTTTCAAATAACAATATATTGTGGATTGAACCATTGATCAGGCTATTTTGGATCTGGTTATGTGTATTGAGGAAGATGATGTGACAGCAAAAGATCTCCTTGGAAACTGTGATCATAAGATGATAGAATTTAGCTTTCAACTTGAGATGGAGGAACTCGGTTTGGAAACAACTGTGCTAAGCAAACACTAGGTTAATTACAAAGCAACGAGTCAGAGTTAACTGGGATGAATTTGGAAAGGATTTTAGCAGCAAAGATGTTTGAGAGATAATGACAGACATTTCAGAAAATAGTTCATACCTCAGAGCAAGGATATAGTTCAGTGAGGAAAAAGGATTCTAGGAAGGAAATAAGGCATGCATGCTAACCAAGGAAGTTAAGGATAGCATCAAATTGAAAGTAAAAACATAAAAAGTGACAAAGATTAGTGATATGCCAGAGGATTGGTAAAGTTACAAAAACTAACAAAGAATTCAAAAACCACCAAAACAAAAAAGAAAATCAGCTTCAAGGGTACTCTTACAAGTAATTTCGAGCTGGACACCTTTAAATATATAAAAAATTACAGAAGACAAAGTGAACATAGACTTGATAGAGAAATAGGCTTGGGAAATAATGATGGGGAACCAGGAAATGACAGAGAAGTTAAGTAAATACTTTTGCATCAGTCTTCATGGTAGAAGACACTAATAGCATGCAAAAGTTACTAAATAATCAAGAGGCAAATGGAGCATAAGAAATAAATACAATAACTGTCACTGGGGAAAACATGCTAGGGAAACTAATGGGGCCAAAGATGCATCCCAGGATATTAAACAAAGTATCTTCAGTGATAGTAATAGTAATTTTTCAGAAATCCTTTGACTCTGGAAAATTCTCAGAGAGTTGGAAACCTGCCAGTATGACACCTATATTTAAAAAGAGAAGACCAAAAGCAGATAACCATGGCAAACAAAAATAGAAATTGCCAGAAAATCTCAGCACATCTGGCAGCATCTGTGGAGAGAAATCATAATTAACGTTTCAGATTTGGTGACGCTTCTTCAGTGTTCTGGACCTTAAACATTAACTCTGATTTCTCTCCAAGATGCTGCCAGACCTGCTGAGATTTCCCATCAATTTCTGTTTTTGTTTCAGATTTCCAGCATCCGCAGTTCTTTCGGTTTTTTGTTTAGCAAATAATTATAGGCCAGGTGGGCCAATGTTTGTTATTGGGAAAATGCTAGAGTTTATTATAACAGATGTATTAGCAGAGCAATTAGAAGTACAGAAAATGATGAAGCCAAGTCAGCATGGCTTTACCGAGGGGAAATCATGCCTGACAAATTTTCTATAATTCTTTGAAGAGGTAACAAGCAGGATAGCAGTGGATGTAATGTATTTGGATTTTCAGGAGGTGTTTCACAAGGTACCATACATTAGGCTACTTAATGATAAAAAAAAGAGCCCATGGTGTTAGAAATAGTATACTGGTATGGATAGAGGATTGGCGAAGTAATACAAGATGGAGAGTTGATATCGGGTGCATTTTTAAAATGGCAGCCTATAACTAATGGAATGCCTCAGTGTTAGTGCTGGAACCACTATGATTTACAATATATATTAATGAATTAGATGAGGAAAGTGAATGTGCTATAACCAAGTGTGCAGAGGACACAAAAAAAAGGTGGGAAAGCAAATGGTGAGGATAATACAAAGAGCCTGCAGAGAGACATACACAGGTTAAGCTAGTGGGCAAAAGTATGGCAGATGAAATATAATGTGGGAAAATGTGAGGTTATGCACTCTGACAGGAAAAATATAGGAGCTACGTATTATTTAAATGGAAGAAAAGACTGCAGAAAGCTCCGAACAGAGGGATTTGGCAGTCCTTGTACATGAATCATGATAAGCTAGCATCTACATTCAGCAGGTAATAGAGAGGCAAATGGAATATTGGCCTTTATTTCAAATGGAATGCAGTAGAAACATAGGGAGGTTTTGCTACAACTATACAAGGCATTAAACAGGCCATAGCTGGAATACCGCAAACAGTTTTGGATCCCTTATTGAAGTAAAAATATATTGTCATTGGAGAAGTTCAGAGAAGGCTCACGAGGTTGATTTCAGCAGTGGAGGAAAAAGAACAAAGTTGCTGGAAAAGCCCAGCGGATCTGGCAGTATCTGTGAAGGGAAAAACAGAGTTAAAGTTTCGGGTCCAGTGACCCTTCCACAGAACTCCAGACCCGAAACGTTAACTCTGTTTTTCCCTTCACTGATGCTGCCAGACCTGCTGGGCTTTTCCAGCAACTTTATTTTTGTTCCTGATTTACAGCATCTGCAGTTCTTTTCGTTTTAATTCAGCTGTGGAGGACTGTCTTATGGGGAGAGATTGAGTAGATTGGGCCTGTACTCGTTGAAAAATAGAAGAATAAGAGGTGGCCTTATTGAAACATATAAGGTTCTTCGAGACTTGACAGGATAGATGCAGAAGGACTGTTTACCCTTGTGACAGAGTCTAGGACCAGACAGCATAATCTTAGAATAAGGGTTCGCTGACTTAAGGCAGAGGAATTTCTTCTTTAGGGAGTAATGAATTTGCGGAATTCTTTTCTGCAGAGGGCTGTTGAGGCTTGGTCATTAATTATGTTCCAGGCTGAGATAGACATTTTTAGTCAGTATGGGAATTAAGAGTTATAGGGAAGAGGCAGGAAAATGTTAGAATTATCAGATCAACCATGATCTCACTGAATTGTGGAGCAGACTCAATGGTTTGAATGGCCTATTGGTGCTCCAGTATTATGGTCTTAATACATCCGTCAAAATCAGCTCCCATCACTAAGCAGTACGTTGTCAAAGAGAACAATTTTATTTCATAGCAAAAGGAGTGGCACATCAACTTTGTGAAGACTTTTCATTGGTTGGAAGAGGAACAGTTCAAAATGATAAAACCGGAGGTAAATGGGCAATGGGCATCCTATGAATCACAATTTTTCTTAAGCAGTCAAACTGTTCTTTGCCAGTTTTTAATTAACTAAACATAGGATATTTGCATTTTTAAATGCCAAGCTTGAGTTCTCAAGATAGCTCAATTAAACTATTATATTACAATGGAGCAAGTAGACAAGGAGATGCCCAAACACCTCTGCTCGTACAAAAACTAAACCCACATTGTTGGGTTTAAAAAGCAGCACACACTATCTAATTGAGCTAATACACCTTAATTAAAGCTTGATCAGATTTATTTTTATAAAATTACTTTCCTCATGTTTACTTTGCAAACCATTTAAACATAATCACATTATAGTAATACCATGCTGTAAGTAGAAACTAAAATATAATGCTTTTTTGGCAATCTACTTTCTAACTTTTAAGAGATCAACTTTAGAAACATCCCAGGCAAACCATTTTCAGTTCCAATTAAACTAAGGGGAAGTGGATGTCAAGTTCCTTCGCTATCATACATACAAATATGTTTTTACAAGAAAAAAAAATGTCTGTAAGCATGCTAATCAAAGTATTGAAATTCCTTTACAAAATCTGTTCTGTTTTGTTGGATCGACTGAAAGCTAATTATAAATTGCTTTTAAAGTTGATAAGAAGCCAAGGTGTACTGGACTCGTCAATTAATATCTTAACAGTTGATTTAAAACAAAAAGAACTGCAGCCCTGCATATGCAGGAGCATGACACAAATAGTTCTTGGTCACAGTATTTTGTACCTGATTGTGATTTTTCCAGGCTGCAGGGCAAAAGCAAAGGCTTTGGGAGTAAAGGGATAGATTTTAATAACACCATCTTTATGAGCATGTGCTATCACATGGTAGTCCAGTACGTGCATTTTGGCCATTAAATAACCACTACAGGCTATACTGTTGTTTTCGGTTATTTAATGGTACATTTTATGGGATATTTAAGAGTCCTCACTAACTCTTTTATGACTTTGATTTGAGTGTAAACAAGAATTCAGCTTGAAAATTTCCATTGCCAAGGTGGTTGTTTAAAAAATGCACGCTAAGTAGCTTCATAGAACACCAAAAGAGCTATTTTATGTTTTAGTTGCCAGGAGAATGAATCTTTGTACAACAAAAATATGCAACAACTTAAAAATCATCATAAATGTGGCAGGGATTCTTCCTATTAATTTTTACAACTTCAAAGTGGATTGGTTGAAAACCCAAAGAAGTGGCTTTTTCTGATGATCTTAAGATTGGGGAACGCCAGTGGAAATTCTACTCCATATCAGAAAATGCTATATTTAGACTAACGAATGGTCATATCCAGTTGCCCCATGTTAATATCGGCTTTACATGCCTTAATCTGCTCTATTCAATAAAAGCGGCAGGGTATAATTATCAATCCCATTATCATAATGAGGATTTGAGCCTACCAAAGTGCTTCATATGCGTGAGTCAACATGCATTCTGTTTGCTTCTCCATTGGAGTCTTGGGATTAGTAAATTTAACCAATGACTTCAATGCTTAAGGGAGCTAGTACTGATTCTATGGTTTGAGCTGATCATATATTTTGCAAAGAAAGCTGCCTTCTTTGTTGATTGATTCAGCATTAACGTGTTCAATAAAGCCAGAAGTTCATAATTTGAAACCAAATAACCATATTTTTTCTGAAGAAGGGTCTAGGCCCAAAACGTCAGCTTTCCTGCTCCTCTGATGCTGCTTGGCCTGCTGTGTTCATCCAGCTCTACACCTTGTTAACCATATACAGACAGCTAGGCAGGTGGTTCTCTTTCAAAGAGGTACTATTTGGCTTAAAACAAAACAGTCACACTTAACCATGGTTCTCTGACACATTGGCGTCAAAGCAGGAAGGATAATAAATATATCTCAGAACTGGTAACAATGAAGAATCATTGATGTAAGTGATACTCACTCTTGGTTGTGGGGATCCTGGGAAACATGGCCAAGTCTCTCATTACTGCCAGGCCCAGGAATGTTAATCTGAAAAAGGAAAACAAATTGCTTAGAAAAGTACATGATGCATGTAGGGCTGTGAAAGCCCAACATATAGTGATTTTCTGTAGACAGTCTACACCCCACCTATGGAAGTGAATATTTATCGCAATAATGAAAAGGCCAGCAGTCAACCAAAATATAATACACTCCCAAAGCAGAGTTGAAAAGATTTGATTAAAACAAAGCAGTGTTTTTTTTTTAATTGTTGCCTCTTTTGCCTTTGTGTCAAGAGCAATTTTTAAAAATTCTTTATTTTGCATGTTGAATAAAGACAAAATTTTAAAAAAGAAAAGACAACATTTAAGTTCAACATATCCATATTTAAAGAAATGGTCGACAAGACAAAAATTCCAATTGCTAGAAAGCTACTTGTCTATTAGGTTTTAGGTGTTTATTTCTATCAAAACTGTAAACTATAATTACCTTGTTTTAGTGTGTATCAGAAAATCTGAATTTTCTGGTGCCACAAAATCAGAGGGACTAAGTAAGCCACAGTGTAAAGAACAACATAACAGATTACTAGGCAAACATTTTCCATTCCTAAAAATCATTTTCTATTTCATTAAATGCTTGGGAAATGATAATTTGTCACTGCTTAATCAAAGCATTGCACCATTTTAAATTAAAATTTCCAAACCTACTGCTTTAAAAACAAAACTGCATTAAGTCTCACGCAGTTCATAAAAAATTACCACCTGATACAAAATAATGCTTCATATTAATGTGATCCCTATATTTCACAAAATAGTGATTTGGAGCTGAAAAAATTGTCTTATGTAAAGATTTAATTGTATGATACTTGTTAAATATATTCTTTGTTTAAAAATGTAATTTAATACATCAAGTGGTGCACCTAACATTTGCTTTATGGGGGGTGGGGCAGAGGTGAGGAAAAATTATGCAATAAATTAATGTTTCACGTTGATAGTTTATATTCTTGAATACATGAAAACTAATTTCTATTTTAGATATAAACAGTATTTTCTCTTGCCAAGAAATAAATAAACTCATAACCTTAGTGTAGAATTTTTTCATTTAAAAATATCTGCAAAAGAGATTTTCATACTGTATCACTGACTCTTATTCATGGAATATATCAATCCATTTTTTACACCATGGTGGCAAGGCAAGCAGTCTATGCATGTTTCATGCTGAGTTAAGGTTTCACAATCACATTATCTCATGGTGGACACAATGCTTTTATTCAGTTGCATATTATGAAATATGTGGAGGGAGAGTGCTTCCCCTTGCTCACTCTGTCGACTAGCCATTTCACAGAATATTAATCCTGTTTACTGTCATGCCTTCATTAAAAGATATAAATTCTAAAAGAAATCATTATGTACTAATTCTGTGATTTCTTACCATCAGTGAAATTAAAAATAAAATGCCATAGAAGTGTTATACCATTTACTCACAGGGGTTGAGTTATAATTAAACAATCTAATGTGAATGGGACTTTTGCTGTCGAGGAAAAAGCTACAAGGTATTCCCCTTACGCTAATAATTCCATCTTAAAACTTTGCTTTTACCTTTTATAAGACTATTTCCATTTGAATTTTTGATAAAATACCATTGTTAACCAGTTTTATAAAGTTAATAAATTACAACTGTTAGATTGGGGATTGTATTTCACTATGCGACTATACACCAACTGAGAACTTTACCTACAGCTGTAGAGCCTTAATGTAATATAGTTTTAACTGAACTTTCTACTTTCTTCAATGCTCCTGAGATATATTTCACCATAGGGATTTAGATCTGCCATACCACCTTTTCAAACTGCAATTGCAAAACAAAAGTATACTGAAGATAGTCTTTAATACAGTTTGTTTTATTACTAAATTATGTTGGATTACCAGCAACTGAACACTGCAATTAGACCAAGCGCAGACGTCAGCAAATGAATCAAGACGACTAGACATGAAATCTCTACTTCCCTTTGAAGTATAGCATTCCAGCTCAGAAAAGCAAGCTGGGTAATTGAACAGCGTGGTCTGTGCAAAAAAATGGCACATGCCATAAATGAAAATTATTCATTAATAAAAAAGGAAAAAAAAAAAACTTATTTGTTCCCTCAAATCAAAACAATTTCTGGAAACTGTTCAATTTACTTCCCATCGTCTACATTTTATTCCATGTTAGTGTTCACTTTCATAAACATAACCATTAAATTACATTTCTGACAATACATTAAATACATTTACTGTTGAGCATACATATGGCTGTATCACATCACGCCATTAATATAATTGCAAGTGCTGCTGCAGTTACATAAATGACTATAAAATGTGTGATCAATTGCCTTTTGGGGATGTAAAATAGTTTTTATTTGTCTCAGCCATGTCAAGTTTTAAATGCTAGCTTGTACTATATAGGTATATTAGTCTAATAAAAGCCAGCATCTTGCCTCTAACTACTGTCCAGTCGAAGTGGGTGTACTATTTTGCTTCTCTAAATTATTTCTAATCTAAATTCATAAAAATAGAAATTATTTTCTTAATCCATCATTCATGGCTCATTTCATTTTTAGATGACAGTAAAGCATTACATTTCTCCACTGAATAACTGTATACAAATGTTTTGTGATCTATAAGATTATCAGTATGAATATGAAAATAGATATAATAATTCAAACCAAATATTAAAGAGGTCTCCTTTTGCTGGCTAACCATGAATATGGTAAATAAGTGACAATTTTAAAAATTGTGGAGAGGAGGTAGAGTGATGAGAAGAGAAAAGTTGACTGAAATAGTATCAACAAACGGAGGCAGTCAAACTGCAAAATTATTTTTCGAGCATTTCACTGCTATTGTGGTGGGTGAGAGAAGAGAAAGCATCGGGGTAGAGTTGGACAAATGTGTACACAGACAAATATTCATGCTGCTATACTTACAGATAAAGACACCTACTTGAAGTATAGAAAATGAATTAACATTCTAAGATGAGCTAGCTGTTGTCACGTAAACCTTATTAAATAAAAAATGATTTCCATGTATAATCAAATATAGCAGATCTGATTTTTTTCCCTCCAGAATTAATATGCAATAGGACAAGCTGAAGGTATTCAATGATAGAAATAAAGTACTGGGAATCAGGAGGCCTCTAGTGTGAGTTAACCATCCCAACACTGCGAGGAACAATAAATTTCAATGAAAAGGGAAGGATGACTGCTTCTTTTATCATATAGTGGAGAGGAAATCATAATTGAGTTTCATCAGGAGTTTACGAGCTTATTTCAGATTCAAGTTTTGAGGTGATTATTATACTCTTCAAATATAAAGACAGCAAAATAAGTTTGTTGCTTTTTTTAATTTTGACAATACATCAGTTATAAATTTGCCTATATCCAGAATATTAAGATAGGAATTGCTGCAAATCAGTCTCCCTAAAGTGGGCTGGCCATTACTCAGAGTTGCATGACTCAGTCAATTTCCAAACCAAGTGCTAATTAATTATGTTTTGTGTCTGTGTGTGTTGAAAATGGAAAGGGAGAGGGGAAATGTGTAATTTACTGTGCAGAACAAAATACCGAGCAGGTATACAGAATTAAATATTTTTTGAATTGGTAGATTAGAGCACACCATTGTTCGCAGTTCTGGAAAAAAAAATCAGCAGCCATCTTACTTTATTCAAAATTTATGGAGGATGTGTAGGCTAAGCAAGTTATGGTAGTTTGTATTTGTATTTAATACCATTTAACATTTCTTATTATAAATATGATGAGATTTCACTACGGCATGACTGTAAAGGATAACTAGGTTGATGGATAATGAGGCAATCTACATGTCATATTTCTTTATGCTCTTGACTCTTGTACTGATGAACTCATTGTGTATTCTGGGAATAAGGAAAGTCATGTTGCGAAATCACCGTGGGGAAAGGTACTCTGTTGCATCACTGAAATAATACAAGATTTACATTACAAAAAATTTATATCATACTTGAATGATTTCCTTTACACAATTAGTAGCTCAAAGGGCAGAACTGATACTTAATGAAATTTCAGATGTATATGCATCATTGTAAAATGTTTGGAACGCACAATAATGAATATTTATTTCTAGATAATGACCAAAAACTTCTTTTAGATTTGTAGCCCTGCCAATCCTCATTGTTAATTAGTATAGAAACAGTTCAATTGGAATATCTAAAATTCATCAATACATTTAATTAAGTAAACTATTGTTTATATTCCAAATGAAACTGATTTTAACCACTTCTAAGTTCACACAACTTCACATTCATCAAAGGAGATCAATTGTCCAGGCCCCAGTAAATGTTTTTCATGCTGAAATCATTTATCTGCTTTCATTACTGTGTGAGATGATTTCCTCATCAATCTCCATGATCAATTTATCATTGTACCTGTAAATCAAAATTTGTCTCATAAATTCATTTCTAGATAAATTATTTCCAGGAACAAAAATATTGCATTTTCAATAAAGAACAAAGCATGGTTTTTGTTACAGTGCATGCAAAATGCTTTTAAGTATATTTTAGTGATCTCTTTTTATTGTTCAGGTATAATTCTATTTTGGCAGATACAATCCACGACAATACTTTAGAATTAAACCGCAAGCTTATAGCTGCCATTGAATGAGCAGAGTTTTATAATGGAAGTCTTCAGAGTTATTACTTCTTTGGTATAGACTTTATTTTTTCTTATACTATGGTGGATTCCCTTTGTAATCTACAATTTTCCCACGTACTTTCTCAGAAAACATTTGCAATAGTTTTGCTGGTGTCACAGTGCAATTCCATGTTCATTCCATGTTTTTTCTACACTGAACATTCTACTGAACGTGGAAGTAAAAGGTAACTGGTCACAATGGCAAAAGGTAGGTAATGGCGTTCCACAAGAATCTTGACCGGAATCAAAATAAACATTTTTAAATTTGTGGATGACATTAAATTACAGGAGATAGGGGGTGGGGCGGACTTCAGATACTGAGAAAGATGGCAACAAATTACAGGATGACATT